CCAGCAGCATCATCATCATCAATCAGCATCATCAGCATCAGCATCAGCATCATCATCATCAAGCATCATCATCATCCTCATCCTCATCCTCATCCTCATCATCAGCATCAGCATCAGCATCAGCATCAGCATCAGCCTCATCATCAGCATCAGCATCAGCATCAGCATCAGCATCAGCATCAGCATCAGCATCAGCATCATCATCATCATCATCATCATCATCATCACCATCATCTTTCTCCTCCTCTGGGGGGCACGCATCGAGCTCGACTCGGCGGTGTGCGCCGTCGCCGACGGGTCAGCGAATACAGGCCCCCCGATGGCGACGCCGCACGCTCCTGGGCGTGCGGGTAGGCCGGGCCCCCATCGGCGACGAATGGGCGCAGTCCTCCGGCCTTGGTCGAACCAGGAGCTCTACGAGGTACTACTCCAGATTTCGTAATAAAGGGAGGGGGGTCTCATTTCGGGGGGGGGGGGGTCTCTTCCAGGCTATCTTGGAGGGCCTGGGGGGGTCTGGGGACGATGTTTTGGAGGGTTCTCCCACGGGGGAGGTCTGAACTGGTTTGTCTTGGAGGGTCCAGACCCCCTCCCTGTTATTACGAAATCTGGAGTACCTGTTCAATGTTTGATTTCCCGCGGTGGTATAGCTCCGGGAAGATCACGCGGGGGGGGCATGAGGCGCCGCGCTTGGCCCAGGAGCAGCCCCCCGCTCGTGCCCGCAGCTGGCGGGGCCATGGCGACATGTGGGGCGTGGCAGGGCCTGCCAAGTGACGAGGGACGAGGATCGGCGGCCAGCGAGGGGGGAGACGCGAGAAGGTGCGGGCCCAGAACATCGGCCACTCTCCCCCTTCACGCTGCCCCCGACGACCGCACCTCTGGCCCCCGGCGGCCGTGCGGGGCGGCCCGCCCCCCTCCCCCTCCCGCAGCGCTCTCTGCATGCAAGGACCAGCCGGAGAGAGCATGCCGAGGCGGGAGCGCTGCCGAGAACCGAGGAGGCCGCTCGAAGACCTCGAACTCCGCCTCCTCCTCCTCCTCCTCCTCCTCCTCCTCCTCCTCCTCCTCCTCCTCCTCCTCCTCCCTCCTCCTCCTCCTCCTCCTCCTCCCCCCCCCTGTCCCGCAGCGCTCTCGGTAATAAGGCGCAGCCGGAGAGAGCATGCCGAGGCGGGAGCGCTGCCGAGAGCCGAGGAAGCCGCTCGAAGACCTCGAACTCCGAACCTCGAAGCTGCGCCCCCCCGCCCCCCGCCAGTGCTGCCCCATGGGCGATGCGGGGCCCATCCCCCCCCTGACGTTGCGCACTCCGAGGTCCTGCGCGAAGAGCACGGTGCACCATCGGAACGCGAACACGCCCACCTTAGAAGCATCAAGGAAGCCGGGCCGCCCAACCTCCGCCAAGCACGCTCGCGCCCCTGGAAAAACGCGGCGGGAGGATTTTCTGACCTGCTCAGTCTCTCGAAAGGCCCTCGCCGAGCCCAAGGACCCTCGAAAAACGGCCGGGGGTGAGAAACTGGGCCGACAACCCAGAGATGCCACGTCGTGATTTTTGTCAATGCGGGGTCCCTGGAAGTCTTGACCCATTTCCCAGGACCGGCTTTTCATCCCGAATCGCTTTTTGACGGCCCCGGGCCCAGCGAGGGCCCCTCGAGGCTGAAGAAAACGAAACACCGCCGTCTTTTGATTTTTTGTCAATGCGTTGGACCTCTGGGAGGGCTGGGACTTCCCGGGGCCGCTGTCTGCAGACCTCTGGCCGCCGCATGCCCGGGACGGGGACGCCTGGCCTCGCGGCGCCGCGGCCCTCGAGGAGGGCACCTCTCCTCTGGCCCAGGCCGCGGGGGCGCGAGGCCCCTCTCGCGCGCCCCCATCTTGGGCGCTCTGGGCCAGGCGCCGCGCACCGGCAGCCTCGGCGGCGGCAGAAGAGGTGCCTGCCCGCGAGGGCCCTGCAGGCCAGCTCTTGGGCACGTGCCCGGACAGCTCCTGTAGGAGAGCTAGGAGATTTCGGATTGGGAAGCCAGAGTCGCAGGGCAGCCCCGGCGCTGGTTTCGGCGGCGGTCCAGGCTCCCCGGCGCGCCTTGCTGGAGCCGGCAGCATGTTCCGGCAGGGCTTTTCTCTAAGCGTTTCCCAGTACGCGTGCCAAAAAGCTCTCCGAGTGCTTCGCCAGACCACGCCCTTCGGGCGCTTGCTGCCTGGGTTTCGGACTCCACAAGTCCTCGGTCACATTGGGAGAGACACGTGCGTAGTCCAAGGCATGCGGCCCTTCGCCCGAAATACACAGCGCACATAGTTGCTTCGAAATCCTCACGAGGGAAAAGAGGCCCTTCGCCCGGGACGTCGTGCAGGAAAATAAACCTACCCCGATGAGCGTCCACCATGACGAAGGAATCACAAACAACTGGAACCTACAGGGAGGAGGGATGGGGAAGGGCAAGGTGATGGACGGCGACGGGAACGGGTGTGAGTTGTCGGACCCCAAAGGGGGCTCCTGTTCTAGCGGGGACCCCCCATCCAACATGACACACCTATACCTACCAGAATTCCACCCCGAGACAGCTGGGCGTCGCAAAAGGCATGGGTGCTCGTTGTCAGCTCGTTGCACTATGCCCGTCGATCGGAAGAAATGGGGAGAAACATGAAGCAGGACGACGTTGAAAACGGATTGGGCTTCCACCCGCCCCCTGAAGCGGAGGGAGGAGGAACAACCGTTCGACTCTTGAAGTTGGAAGGCGCCCGAAGTAGATTGGGACCTGGGGATCCAGACGTACACGTCGTTCATTTCTAATCGTGCTCGTTTCTAATTGTGCTCGTTTCTGATTGTTCCTGGCCCCCTAGTGGCCAGGAAAAGGGCCCGGAATAGAACACTTAGAAATGAAAGGATCTTGGCCCCCTAAAAAATCAAAGAACTTTCGAAGAATCCGCCGGCCCCCTTGTGGGGCCACCAGGCTGTAGGCCGAAGCTTCGCAGTTTCCTGTACCAGTTGCAGCTTCCAGTTTCCACTGTTACAGTTCTGCTTCTTGCTGCTTACTGTTCCTTGTTGATGGACCGCGCGAAGGGGGGGGGAATCCCAAACGGGCAGGTTTAGCACGCCCTGAGCGTGCGCTCTGAACTGCTGTGGTGGGTAAAAATTTACACCCCTCACGCGGATCGGCGGGGTCAGGATGCAAACACACATGGGATTTGCCACATGTCTGACATTCGGTGGCACCCATCACGCGGATCGGCGGGGTCAGGGTCCAAAAACAAATGGGATTTGCCACATTTCTGACATTCGGTGGCACCCCTCACGCAGATCGGCGGGGTCAGGGTCCAAAAACAAATGGGATTTGCCACATTTCTGACATTCGGTGGCACCCCTCACGCAGATCCGTGGGGTCAGGGTCGAAAAACAAACAGGTCCCGACACTGCTTCACGGCGGCGCCCAGACCTCATGATTTAGCTTTTGCATCTCCCATTACCCGAGACAGGGGGCCGGCGGCATGCGGCGAAGCCCTGCGGAATAGAAATGCACAACGTGTACCTACTTTCAACGACCCGTGCGCACCGTGCGCGATGGCGATTGCGAACGCCTCCCGAGCACACTCGCTGCCCCGGCCCTGCGCGCACGACCTCGCGCATCCTCGGCGGGGGGGGTGCGCACGACGCTGCGGTAGCAGCGCCGACACCGGGCGGGGCAGCACCCGAAGGATGGGCGCTGCAGCTGCAGGCAGAAGGAAGACGCCCTCCGGCACCAGCAGGCTCCCCCCCCCGTCTCCTGTGCAAGGCCACCCGAAGTCCGGATGGCTTCGCAGCGTCGGCCCCCAGAGGTCTGGACTCCCCTCCCCCTGGACCGGCTGCTCTTCCCGAGTCGTGGTGTGACGGCCCCAGGGCCCGGGAAGGGCCTCCCGAGGTCGGAGATAGCGAACACACATGAAGGGGCCCTGGGACGCACAAATAAATACACACACACACACAAATGACAGGATTCCCTATATTTTCCAGTATTTTCTGTGTTTTTGTCTTCCCCCCCATTTCCCAGTGAACAAACAGCGGCACAAACATAAAAACTCGGAGGTCCGCGCGGATTTCTCGGACCGGCACTGGACCGCGCCAGGGGCGGCGCTGGAGGCGCCGCCAGGGGGGGCCCCAGCCGCGGATCCGGAAGATCCGCGCGGACCTCCGAGTTTTTTCTGTTTATGCCGTGTTTTGTTCCCCTGGGTAGCGAACACACATCTCGTCGTGATCTTTGTGGGCAGCGCGAGGGGGTGGTCTGGGGTGGGATCCGCTCCTACGCGCACTCAAGGTCTGCGAACCTTCGCCCGAGAAGCAGTGTACAGCACACTCCGTTTGAAGAGGCCCTGGGACACACACACACACACACAGAAATAGACACAAATAATTGGATTCTCCATATTTTCCAATCGTTTCTGGGTTTTTGTCTTCCCCCCCACTTCCCATACTTTCCAATATGTTCCTGGGGACCGACGATTAATTGTGTCTGTGTGGTTCTTTCCCTCCTGATTGTTATGCGCTTCACTCTCGCGAACGTACCCGGGAGAACGTTCACTGTGCTGTGGGCGGCGGTTGCGAGACCGGCTCCAAGGTCATGTTCCTCTCCCCGATCCTGGGGCCCCAGTCTGGGTGGACACCTGAGCAGGGACCGACCGTCCCAGCATCCCTATAGTCCTACCACGAAATGTTCTTAGAACTCCAAAAATGTTCCAAGCACAAAAACAGCGTTCTCAGAACATCAGCCCGAGGTGACAAGACAGGAAGAATCCCAACCAGCAATGTTCTTAGAACCCCTCGTGGAAACCACAAGAGCCTCTCGGAACATTGCTTGGTAGGGCCACAGGCGCGCCGGGGCGCCTCGCCACTGCCTGAGACACGGGCTCCCGTCCTGGCCCCGGGGCCGGCGTGCAAGCAGGCCGGCCCAGGCTGGACCCGTGGCGGGCCCGGCCGTGGACGGCGCCTCTCCTCCCGCCAGACCCGCTTCGGGGCCGCCTCGAGCCCGCGACGGGCGCCAGAAGAC